CGCCCGGCCCCCCCTTGCCGACGGCGACCTCCTCTTCAATGTCAACAGCGACATCAGGTTCAACCCCCGGGCGGCCGAGCAGCCCGAGTGGTGAGTACCGGGGGGGGGACGGGGGCCCGGCCCGGCCCCGCCCGGCCCGGCACCAAGCGTGCGGTTTGCCCCGGGTAGGGGTGCCCCGGGGTGGGGGGAGGCCCGGCGGGGTGCTGGGCGGTCGGTGTGGAAACGTGGCACGGCGGTTCCCCGGGTCGCTGCCTTCCGCTTTATAGGGTAGGTTTTTACCCGGGCGTTCACGAGAATTGGTGTAATGGCTGGTTTGGAGTAGGCAGAGGGTTAAACAGAGCGATTCGGTGTCACCAGGAGAAAGGGAAATCGTACACAGGCTTGACCGGTTGTGTTCCTTCAAAAAAAAAATACCATGAAACACAGAATAAACACAGGAGCATGAAAAGGCTGGAGTACTGAGGCCAAAGGCTCCGTGCGCCCCAATATCCCATCTTCCAGCTGTAGCCAGAGGCAGACGCTACCGGAAAAACAGTGTAAGGAAAGGGCAAGCGCACAGTGAGCCTCCCTCTCCAGTACCTTCCTCGTCTCCTGCTCAGAGGTGTAGGGGCTAAGCAGTGAGACCAGGCAGTAATGTATTCAGTTTTCTCAAAAGCAAGGTCTAATATCACAAAGGCATTCATCCTAGCAGGTTATTTCTGCCTTCAGGATCTGAACTGTGCTACATTCTTCATCCTCAATTAATTCCCAGTATCCTAGCACCTCTGCTGCTCTCCAGCCTTCAAAGCAGTTAGTTGCCTCCGTGAATCGTATGCCCTGTTGGCTTGTAAGAAATGCTGAGAAATTTCAATGACTGAAAAATCAAAAGGCTTGTCTAATACAACAGCACCCTCTTCCAAACACACTGACATTGTAATGTTTAAACAGCTGCATTGTACCGTGCAAAAGCTCTGTCAAGCCGCAGAGCAGCCAGCATGATCTAAACCTTGAGAAAGAGAGGATAAATATTTCTGATTTCCGCCCCACAAGCATGTGAATTGTCCAGGCCCCTTCCATCTCATAATCAAAACTGGCTGTGAAGTGAAATAACCTGAAAAAGTTCTGGTTTCTCTGAGAGAAAAAAGAAAAAAACAGAGTCACAAATGTATGAACATCTGGAGATGGCTAAAAACACAGAGGACTTCTGGATCGAAGATACGTGATAGTGTATCCAGTAGGTGAAGAGGAAAGTTATCACTGATATCCACAATGCAGCTGCCTGTTGTACGTATTCTCCTTAGTGGCTGCAGCCAAAGTTCACAGAACTAACATGAAATTTAGGAGTTAAAAGTCATTTAACAATTCTTTTCTACTGCTAGGGAAGGGCAAAGCCATCCAGGGTTATTCTTTAGCAACCACTTCGGAGTGATCCAGTTTCTTCTCATTCTCTGTATTTAAAAAAGAGAAGAAGAGAGAGTGGGAGCATTTGGCACAGCAGGTCAGGTTACTGCTGCCCTCTCAGTTTCCAGACCCAGGGCCCTGTTAAATAAAGGTTCAGGATGATGCTGTTGTTTGGGTCAAGCTTGTAAAAGATGTGTGCAACATAATAACAACCTAAACACAATATAAAACTTGCAGGTCTCTATTTGTGCTATATAAAGGCCTTTGCTAATGCTCAGTGATGTCACCTTGAGTTTTGCTTGTGACTTCCATGGGCTTTAAATCAGGCATGAAGAGTGGTGGTGAAAATCCATCTCCCCCTTGGCCCCAGGTGGGAGCAGGCTCCTGGCGTGCAGCCGGCGCAGGGACAAACTGGGGACTTCTCCCACCTCTGTAGTGCTTTGCCTTTCCAAGTTGTCACATTTTGAAGCCCTGTTTCTTGATGCCTGTTACAAACTGTAACATTTATTTCTTTCTCCTCATTTTTGGGTTTTTGTTGTGTTGTTCTTTTTTTTTGGTGGTAGGCAAAACGAAGATAATGAAGAATTTTTGCCAACTGGAGAAACCTCCATAGACTCCTACCCAAACTGGTTAAAATTCCACATTGGCATTAATCGGTACGAGTTGTATTCCAGACATAATCCTGCAATTGAGGCTTTACTACAAGACCTGGTCTCCCAAAAGATAACCAGTGTTGGTATGTTTGGATATGTATCATTTTTTATGATTATTTGCTCATTGTTCAGGATCTCATTGCTGTTTGAATATTAATTAATATTTTGCATGGCTTCTCTCCGGCATGCCTGCAACATTGCTTCCCGACTTCCGCGCTCATTTTCCCTGTTAAACATAAAGAGATATCGCCAGTTCTGTATTACCTGAATAATTGAAAAGTCTACCAGCAAGGCAAACCCCATTCATTTCAGAGATCTTTAATCACAATCAGGCTGAAAGTGCCCTATTCAGTTATTTAAAATAAATATGATAATTTAAAAAAGGATGGTAAAAAGCAGATAGCATCTTGCACGAGCTAGATTTGTATTATTAGCTGATTATTGTTTAAAAGCCTGTGTCTGGCAGCACTCGTCTTCCCGAGGAAGGAGAGAGGCGGGGGGGCCGC